ACGATGTATACCCTGCTATATACAAATCAAATAAAGAAATGATGTTTACCTACAAAAAAAAAAAAAAAAAAAAATATGATATACTGTATAATATTTGCTTTTAATTTTTCTTATTATTTTAATAATATTAATATATTAATATTTAAGTATTTTTAAATTAATTAATGTATACAGAATATATTATTTTTTAAAAAAAAAAAAATTATAATAAAACAAAAATTGGTCACAATATTCATTAAATTATACTGTCGTAGCCGCTTCCTAATGTGGAAAAAACTAATTAAATCATTGTATAGGAAAGTCTAGTTTCACAATGGTTGCTCCCTTTTATGGAATACTAGCGGTTGCTAGAACACTTAAAAAATAAATATTGTGACCAAATGCTATTATATGCAAAATAACTAAAAGAGTTTCAATCATCCTAAAAAAAAAAGTCACTATACGCAACCGATTTCTTTCATTTTTTATTCTATTGACAGTTTGGAGAAAATTTTCAAGATTTTGAGAATAACAAACGAGCATAAATATGGCGTCTTCAACATATACCACTACTTTAGATACGGACGAACCTTTAAAACCATACATTCCACTCAACGAAACTCCTGAAGAAAAGAAAAAACGCGTGCAGATGGAAAAACAGGCAAGGAAGCATAGCGAAGCAATCGACAAACAATTAAAAGCTGAAAAGGAGGAAATGGAGAAACGAAGGGATAGTAAACTATTATTATTAGGTATATAAAACCAGCCTCTTATTTCCTCTTTCTTTAAATAAGTTATTAATTTAAAATTCTTTAAATTCCATGCAGGTTCTTCGGAAAGTGGTAAAACGACTGTTCTCAAACAACTGAAAATTATTCATGGGAAGGGTCTTGAAGGAGAACGTCAACAGTATCGAAGGATAGTTCATATTAATACTCTTACTGCCATGAAGGCCCTTGTAAATGCCCTACCGAGTCTTGAATACACACCAGATCCTAGTAATCTACCACACATTGAGAAATTCAATAGCCTGACGTCAATAAAGGATTCTCTGAATTGTAACTCTTTCACAGTTCAAGCTGCCATCCGTGATAATAAATTGGATGATGATGCTTTTGATTTATTTCATGAACATGTGGATTCGATCAAATCTTTGTGGGAGGACCCGGCTATTAAAAATTGTTTCAGTTCTGCCAGTGAAATTGGGTTGCAAGACTCAGCAAAATAGTATGTAACAATTATGTTTTCAAATTCTATAAACAGTGTATGCGATGCTAAAAAAAAAAACTAATATGATTTTTTTTCTAGCTTCTTGGATAACGCTGATCGTTTTAGTAATGTCGATTATTTACCAACGGATGAAGATATCCTTCAGGCTCGAATAAGAACTGTTGGCGTTACAGAACACAAATTTGAAATTGATAGGGTCACATACAAGTAAGGATTATGAAATATATATGTATTATATCATATTTATTCTCGTTTGCGTGAGACGATTTAATATTGCATTTACAGGATTTACGATGTCGGAGGTCATCGGTCTCAACGTCACTTTTGGGCGTAAGTTCTTTTATTGAATAAATGTGCATGAAATTCATATTTTTTTGAAAATACTTAAGAAAATATTTGTTTAGGCCTTATTTTGATGACGTAAATGCTATCATTTTCATGGCCGCCATTTCTGCGTTTGATCAAACGCTTGAAGAGGATCCCGAGGTTAATCGTATGAGTGATTCTATTGACCTATTTGACAGTATATGTAACAATCCACTCATGGCCAACACCAGTATTATCTTGTTCTTGAATAAAATCGACATCCTTAAGCAAAAGTTGTCTTCTGTCAACGTAAAGGATTATTTCCCTGATTATGAAGGTGAGAAATTTACTTAATATAAATTAAATATTCATTTAATAAAGAGACGAGCAACGTGTTAAATTATCTTAAATGATTAGGCGACAATAAGTTCCAAAGTGTTGTAAATTTTTTCAAAGGCAAATTCTTAGAACGTGCTCCTGAGAACAAGCGTGTTTATACCCATCTAACGCATGCTACGGTGAGCATTCATTTAATTTATTCTAAATTTATTTATATCATACGTTCTAACCATTATTATTTGATATAATAGGATACAAAGCAGATGAGATTGATCGTAGCCACAGTAAATGACATTGTTCAAAGAAGGCAATTAAGAGATACTGGATTTTAATTCAGATAGATATTTTTATTTATTACTAATC